TACTATACGTATATACTATATAGTATACTATATATAGTATATATATATATATATATATATATATATGTATATATATATATATATATATATAGTATGTTGTAAACCATTTGAAATCGTTTTGGTTTTCGCTGTGAGGCTTGTGTGGTGCGTGCGCACACGATGTACCAGACGCGCTGCCCGCATTATGCTCACACAAACTCGGACAGACTTCCATGAACGGCGCAACCCGGGTCCGCGGAAGCTAACGGTTTTTATTTGCTCTTAAAAGCTTTTTAAACTATAATTTTACATACTGGACTTTTCAATTGTAGGGTGGGTGAGTAGTGCTTTGATTCCCTTATTTTGCCGTCGACTAGTGTGTGCGCGGAAGTGTGATTTTGGTTGTTCTTGACACCCATCAATTATACATATAACGTCCACTAATATTTTACCAAATATCTATTCTATGTTTTGCAATCGCTATCACTGAGAGACTACAGGTCTCAGGCCAGATTTTACAGCATCAAGCCATCTTTGATTTTTGGAAGTCATCAGAGTTAGCTCACTCCCGAGAGCTGTCATCAGAGTTAGCTCACTCCCGAGAGCTGTCATCAGAGTTAGCTCACTCCCGAGAGCTAATCAAGTTTTAAATTACTCCCAAGAGTGCAGTTATTTCTTAACCGAATTCCGAGAGCAGATTAAGTTTCTCAGCCGATTCCCGAGAGTGGATTAAACCTGTCAACCGCAACATTCTAATAATAGCTGCGGTTCTATGTGAGTCACAACCTATGCGGAAAGGCATCATGGGATCAGCGTGAGATTTAGTTGCAGAGAAGTCGAAATAGAAACGCATCGAAGTGTTAAAGTGTTCCGCATAAGGTTTCTCATACTGACAATATGAGTTTTTACCCTGGCCAGCCCAAGCGGCTGAACACTAGCACAAACACCCTAGATGTAAAACCAAAGATGAGGTCAGAAATAAATACATACATTTGCACTTTATTTAAAGTCTACTACATGTCACTCTAACAATCACACTGTGCCCTCGGTGCACTTGGCTTTCCTAATCATTATCTCCAATTAGCGTCTACTTGCTATCCTAGCTATTTTGAGTCTCGTAGCATTTTTTTAACACTGAAGCACAAAAAGCCACAGCTTTCAACTTTTGTACAGCTGTGCCGTAAAAGCAATGAAATCGTTTTGGTTTTTGCTGTGAGGCTTGTGTGGTGCGTGCGCACATGATGTACCAGACGCGCTGTCTGCATCATGCCTACACAAGCTCGGAAAGACTTCCACGAACGCCGCAACCAGAATACGCTCTTCGAGCTGTTCCCAAGGCTTGGAGAATTCATTGCGATGAGGTATTGTTCGGCGAGAGCGCCTGTGTTGATTGTGTAGTGTTTAGTTATTTCACGTACGTGTATGCTGTACGTGCATGATCTATCTTGGATAGGCGCCAGTAAATAAGGTGGGTATCCAAGGTTCACCGCCAAAGGATCTTCACTCCTATCGGACAACCCAGATTCTTTCAAAGCAGATAGGCCACCGATGCGCAGTGAGTGCCCGGAGTATTTTTTTGGGGGTCCAGACAACCAGATGCTTTAACTAAGTGCTTGAACTTGCGTGATCACTCGGCTTTTGTAACTGCGACATTGTGCAGAGCGAAGAGGTGGCTGTCAAAATGTTCTTTTGTTGTGAGCGAAAGCCACAACAGAAGGTGATATTTAGGGCAGATATCGTTATAAGCTTCTGGTAGCTTTTGAATTCGGATAGTTGCAGTCCTGAATTGTTGCGTCTTTGACGAAGAGAGTGCTAATAGGATGCGATCGGGATACACACGGACCCCCGGACGATTCACATGAATGTAATTGAAATACGGTTGCAGTTGCGGGTGGGTTGTAAGCTGACCACTTCTAAATAAACAAAACACACCTAGCAGCCTAATAGTCCATACACGAACCCATTAAATATCTGGCATGTAGCATTTGAATACAGGAGAAAAACTTAAAAGCAGCAAACGTGGTGTAACACCGTCTCGTTCCCTCTTAATGCGCAATAGGCTATGTTCAGCCTGTCAACGCTTAATCCCTTTTCGAAGGAGTACCAGCGCAGGGATCTGTGAGGCGGAATAATCTGCGCAAGCCATCTTGTACATACGCCGTACGCCTGACATGTATGAGGCAATGGATTCGGGTTGTCGTCCCCGCATGACCAGCCAGCCAATGAACAACAGCCATATGTCCTCGCCTGCCGGTAGGTTGCCTGCAAGAATTTCTGCCGACGATATCAAGCCTTCATGAACTGCCAAGTCTAAATAGTGCCGTTGAACAGTACTGCTACTGGCGCGCGTTCAAGCTGCTGTGACGATTTGAAAGACTTCCTGCAGGAAGTGACGCAATGGTGCGCCTGTTATCGCGGGAGTGAACGCGGTCGGGAGACTGACATCCGATGGAAAGGCAGAAGGCTGGGGCGACCTATACAAAGGGTGTTAGTGAAGCAGATTCGCGATTAGTGCTACGTACAATATATTTATTAAATAAATGATAAAGCCTGTGCATTTGTTTACAATATAGCTCTGCGTTGGTGAGCTGCGAATGCGGTTTCTTGTAGTCGCGCACAGTGACCCAGCGGTGTTGGGTACGGGTGCATATTAGGGGACATTGCTTTTGCATCATTCGGTCAATCGCGGGATATATAGTCCGCGATCTCATTATTAACTCCTGGTACGTGTTCGCAGGAGATCTCAATGTCGAATGATGCTTCAATCTCCGTTAATAGTCGCAGAAGACTGAGTATATCTGCAACTGGGCTGGTGCGCGTTTTTACGTTTGCAACGGCCCCTTCATTGTCGGCAGAGTCACTATATGTCGATTTTTCCACACTAAACCAAATGTGTCCGCCATATAGATAACCGCCAATAGTTCTAGTGCGGTTATGGAGAACAGTTTTCTCCCTTCCGCGATGGGGTAATGATGGTGCTTTGCCATTTTAGAAAAACCACTCTCCTGTGGAAATGAAACCTGCCCCTTCTGATATTTGATGTAATTTCGTTCTGTGACCGCTATGTGATCTTTTGGCTTCGTACCTGATCCGCTTGGTCATACTAGTTCTTGATTACTTGTTTCTTTGTGTGTGTTCTATTTTTGTATTTCTCTATGCGCATTGTTCGATTGTGTGGTATCACTTGTTTGGCTCGAAGGAGTTTTAGATGCTTGTTTTTTTTGAGATCTGATCGATTGAAAGCTTCTTCTATTATTGCCTGTGATTGTGTCGAGTTATGTCTGTGTTCTTAGTGAACCTTCTCGAACAACTCCTTCAATTATTTCGCACACATGTTATGTTCTAAGATTTAAACCTTCATACCCTTTGATGTTCTAAGATTTAAAACTGCATACCCTTTTATTGCATCCCCTAGTTGTTGATCTATGATTTAAGATTTGCATCTTTATGATTTAGCATGTGCTTCGCTAACTGTGTTTCTGTTTGTGGGTATTATGGTTTGTGTGTTGCTCTGCTGTCGTTACACTATTTATGCTTATTGTGTTGTGTTTGTAGTTGGTTCATCCAAGCATCTGATCGATAAATTTATTTTTCTATCTTAATTTTCTTAGTCAATTCTCTCTAGTGTGGAAATGTTACTGACTCTGTGTTGTGCATCTTCTTGTGAGCTATTACTTGCTTCTTGTTGTGCAATGGAATCGTGTTATCCTTGATGGACTTAACTGGATGTCTTAATGCGATATGTTCTCTTTTATAGATTGAAATGATCTCTGTGATACATTGCTCGGCTAGAGGAGTGTGCCTTTTCCAATGCCTTGTTTTGTGAGCCTAAGCCCCTTTGCGCTTGTACTTCTGTTGCAATCGTGATGTTGAGCCCCGTCTGATTTGCTAGGACGTATATTCTATTGTGGGAACATTTATATAACCACGATGTTGATTGACACTTTCTCAGATTTGTAAAATCCCCAACATTGATGAATTAATCACCGTGACACTTTTCGAAAACACACTCCTTGTAACTCACTTTCACTTATCAGAAAATTATCTGTTGTTACTTAAGAAGTTCACCTGTTGTCTTTGTGGGTTCTACTGTGCCCAGGCAAGCTTCTTTTCTTCCTGTTCCAGTTTACCTTGCGTCGGCTTCGCTTCTAGGTGGGTTTTCTCTCTCGTCGGTTCCTCTTATTGACCTCCGCTTCTTCCTTCGCTTCAAAGTTGAGCTTGTTGCCCACTTCTACTTCTTAGTGCAAAATAAATAGAGTTCTTGAATCACTATTCTTTGATATTTGAACTTCCTTTTGGTACTTTCGTGAGTTGCTTGTGTCACAGATTATAGTTGACTTATCTATAAGGATAGTGTAAATAATGTAGTGTTATGAGTAGCTGGAAGTTACGATTCAAGGGATACAATATACCTCTTCTCAAGTACGGCTATCTCAGCTAGGAAAAGTCCTTAATCTGAGAGAACCGGACTGAGTCTTTATTTGTGTTTTCACTAGACTCAGGATTTACTTGAGTGTTTCTCTCACACGCGGAGTCCCGGTATAGCTTAACGGTTCTACCGCTAATATTTCTGATGACTCTAATATCAAAAATACTCCATTTCTAATTCCAAAACTCAATATTTGATTATTCTGGGTTTTGGGATTTCGATTGGCTTTATGATAATCTTCTCCCTAGATGCTACAAAACGTCAGATGTCTATTCGCAAACGACAAGAATGCGGGAAAGCTTTCTTCCAACTCTCCTCAACATCTACTAGTAGCAGATCATCGTGGGACTCATACTCCTCCTACGGCCAAAGCCCGTCAATTTATTCCGAGCAGAAAGTGCATCTGATACATCGACTTGACCCATGTACGTCGAATAATATTTCTCACACGCGGGCTGTATGACAGAACGCTCACGATCAGCGAGGTTGAGCGAGTGAAGATCGTTGCTCTATACGAGATGTTGTTTATGTTACCAGTAAGCATTCCTTTAATGTTTCAACTCTGTAAGAATCAAACACACAATATATAGAAGAAGTGAACGCTTGCGACCGTCCGCTCTCGTGTATGAAGGCAGTAGGTATACAATAATAGAGATTGATATGCCAGGCATTTAATATGTAGCACGTAATCGATACCACTGCTACCACCGCCGGCGCGGGTGTGGATAACATCCGTAGCTTGCGGCGCCACTGGTGGCGGTCTCAGTGCCGCGTTGGGTATGACCGAGCCGACTCGGCGAATCAGTTCAATCAGATATACTTGTTCATTTTGAATTTCAATAGAGTCGCGATTCGCGATTTCGAATTTCAATGGAGTCGCGATTCACGATAAGTTAACACTCACAGTGTGCATTGATATAAATGGTGATATCCTGTATACTCCCGAAACAAGGGAATATAGAACCGTGGGACCGCGCGACGTGGAGTTTGCTGTAGCGTTTAGGAATGGAGGATTGGAGGAGTTTGGGATGTTCAATAGGGCCGCCATAGACATTGAGCACGTCGTAGGTCCAGTGTTTTATTATGTCGACGTCGCGGCTGAAAGTTCACACGTTCGTGTCGCGTTCTGGGATAAGGACTGTAGTTATCGGTCAAATTGGGAAACTTTAGACGGGATACTTATGGTATAAATCTTATTCTACCGTCAGCCGAACTATCTGTGTCGACCGACGCGTGGCCCGCCAGTGTATTGCACGCTTTAATTCATGTTGTAGGGTTTGGTCATACTGGTCCGACAGCGACTAGAGTGGATGAATCGTGCGTTTTAAACAAGTACGGTTTGATAAAACTCGGCTCGATACGGGCATTGACTGTCGCTTATCTTACGGTATCATGAATGCCGCGTATCTCAAGCAATGTATCCAACACAAATTGACTGCGCACGTATACCAAATGACAAACAGTGACATACACTTAATCCAGGACGCATATTTACGATACCGTTCACGAGATTACCGAGCTGGGTCAAATAGGTGTGATTGTGACGACGGTGGCGATAATGGTGACGATAATGGCGACAAGAAAGGAAATATCAAGGACGGTGATGACAAAAAAGGTGGCGACAAAATCTCATAACACACGCTACCGGTACGGCTTGTTTCTACCACTAAGCAAACAGGGCTAGTTACTATATGATCTACCCGTGGCCTTGAATACACAGAAAAAACAAACAAACGGGACAACACCACGTGTGAATACTATTGGACCCACTGGACGGCTGGTTTTGTTTATTCGATACTAAGTTTAGGTGCAGGCGTGGGCTGTCCAGTGCTTGCGCGATGGACATCGCCAAGTAGTCTATGGCACCGCCAAGCGCATACTAGCGGAACCATCCAAGGCACTCTGGTATGGTACTCTACTGAGCCTGTGGCCAGTATACTATGCCGGCGTAGAGCTCAGGTACGCTCGAGCCAACCCTAAAATCCTAAAACTGAGTCTGTGGCCAGTATACTATGCCGGCGTAGAACACGCTCAAGCCAACTCTAGAACCCAAAAACTGAGTCTGTGGCCAGTATACTATGCCGGCGTAGAGCTCAAGTACGCTCAAGCCAACCCTAAAATCCTAAAACTGAGCCCGTGGCCAGTATACTATGCCGGCGTAGAACTCAAGTACGCTCAAGCCACAACTCTAGAACCCAAAAACTGAGTCTGTGGCCAGTATACTATGTCGGTGTAGAGCTCAGGTACGCTCAAGCCAACTCTAAACCCCTAAAACTGAGTCTGTGGCCATTATACTATGCCGCCGTAGAGCTCAGGTACGCTCACACTCATGCCACCGGGGGGTGTACTGTTTAGAAGGCTTTCGGCGATAGAGGTGCGCTACCTCACGTCCTAAAGCTGCGGTGACTAGACATCGATGAGGAGGAGCGGATAGACGAACTGCAATGGAATGAATGCGATGTGAGAGTGTGTGTGTGCCATGAATGCGATGTGAGAGTATGTGTGTAATGAATGCGATGTGAGAGCATGTATGCAATGATGCGATGCGAGAGCATGTGTGTCAGTGGTCCAACACACAACGACATGGACGTTACCTTGGGCTGCACAATTACGGCTCATAGAAGCGACTTGCGAAACGAGCGCACACAAACCGAACGCATACAAAGACCAGCCAGACACGAACATGTTATATATCTGTGACAGGCACGTTTAATAAAAATACAAATTCAACTTGGTATGTACATGTTATCTATATATAACAAGCACGTTTAATACTACTACAAACTCTACTTGGTCTAATGACTGGGCCTTTGCGCTGGATGTGGTGCGTGTGCGGGTAACTTAAGGCTTCAGGCTTACGGAGCCGCACACCCAGCCAGCGCAATGGCTGCACACACACGCTACACTTACACCAAGTTGAGTCCGGACTGCGAACTGTTGTTCAACGACACACTCGACCCGCCCGCGGCCGCGTTGGACCACTTCTCAATCACTTGATCTCGCAATTGTACGTACTGGGGGGTGCAAAAGGGTAAGGATGGGTGTTACTATACGAATGAGGTATACCTGATCAAAGGGTAAGGATACGAATGAGGTATACCTAATCAGAGGGTGATGATGTGTGTTACTATACGAAAGAGGTATACCTAATCAAAGGGTAAGGATGTGTGTTACTATACGAATGAGGTATACTTAATCAAAGGGTAAGGATGTGTGTTACTATACGAATGAGGTATACTTAATCAAAGGGTAAGGATGCGTGTTACTATACGAATGAGATATACTTCATTAAAGGGTAAGGATGTGTGTTACTATACGAATGAGGTATACATAAAGGGTATGGACGTGTGTTACTATACGAATGAGGTATATTTAATCAGAGGGTAAGGATGTGTGCTACTATACGAATGAGGTATACTTAAAGGGTATGTATGTGTGTTACTATACGAATGAGGTATATTTAATCAAAGGGTAAGGATGTGTGCTACTATATATGTGACTTATACTCCAGTAGTCAATCTCCGTGCTACGTCTGTTACTACACTTATTGATTGGGAGAAATGCGCGTAGTTCGTTTCTGACGCACGTGTGCACTACCTGCTATGAAACAGCATCGTTCTATTTGGAAACTTTGATCCGTTTACTTAACCGGGTGTACAATATATCAGGAAATGTAAACCCCTTTCTCCCCGCCTGATGGGCTTCCCAACCACACGCAATCGTCGACAACACTCACTCACGTACACGCACACTCCCACACTCTGTTGCCTGATTAACACGCACATACTTTGTGGGCCAATGACTCCATCTCTAGCTTCTGCCTGGCTGTTAGTTGTTCAAGGTGTGTTTCGAAGTTCTGGTGGAATTCTTCCACTTGTTTGTCGTATTTGCGCTTTGAAGCCTCGTCCGCGCTCTGTGTGGGGGAAAGAAAAGCCCAGTTTACATGAGGCATGTTGTGTGGGAGAAAAGAAACCACTGTTTACATAAAGTATGTTGTGTGGGAGAAAGAAAAACCCAGATCACATTAGCATGCTGTGTAGGAGAAAGGAAACCACTATTTACATATAGTATGTCCCGATATTACACTCGTAAGATATATAATACCTGGGTAAGACGCGTTTACTAAGTATATACGTACTCCTGAGCAGCCGACGTACACTGTTTATGTAGACTTACCTGGTTCTTGAGGTGCATCTTCTCTTTCCTGAGTTCATTGTACTCGTTGATCTCCGACATCTCCGCCTCGGCCTGTTCAGCCGACTGCTGATTCATGTGTCTAATCCTGATCAACAGAGACAGCAAACACCAACAATCAATTTAGAGACACATGCGCAAATAGAACATTTAAAGACACATGAACAAACACCAACATTTAAAGACCCATACACAAGTAGAACATTTAAAGACACGTGAACAAATAGAACATTTAAAGTCACATACACAAATAGAACATTTAAAGATACATGAACAAACACCAACATTTAAAGACCCATACACAAGTAGAACATTTAAAGACACGTGAACAAATAGAACATTTAAAGTCACATACACAAATAGAACATTTAAAGATACATACACAAGTGAACATTTAAAGACACATACACAAGTAAAACATTTAAAGACACATGAACAAATAGAACATTTTAAATCACTTACACAAATAGAACATTTAATGTCTCACACACAAAGATACATACACAAGTAGAACATTTAAAGATACATGAACAAATAAACATTTAAAGACGCATGAACAAATAAACATTTAAAGACACATGAACAAATAAAACATTTAAAGACACGTACACAAATAGAACATTTAAATCACAGACATATGAACAACCACACCATTTCGAAGCACACGAACAACCAGGCTGTTTACATTTTGAGTTATACATTCGTACGTTCATGCGAACGCATACCGTGTATCCTCATTTGGCCAGTGCGCAACCAGAAATTGACACCAAGTCTTCTTGCGCACAAGTATAGCCAGCTGTAGCTTACCTGTAGCCTAGCTGTAGCTGAACTGTTGCATTGTGTTATCATGGGTGTTACTTACTTTTCATCCATCTCTGCCGCCAGTCGCTTCCTCTTCCTCTCCTCCGACGCCATAAACCTGACCTTGTTCTCCTAATGTATTAATTAGCACAACAAACAGTCAGTTTACGGAGTGAGCGCATCTTGCACACCTCATAAACCTGGGTTTATTCTGCCGGTGTAGCATTTAGACATACTTCACAGACAGTCAGTTCACACAGTGAGCGCATCCTTCACACCCCATAACCTGAGTTTATTCTGCTGATATAACATTTAGATATACTACACAGACAGTCAGTTCACACAGTGAGTGCATCCTTCACACCCCATAAACCTGGATTTATACTGCTGATATAACATTTAGATACACTTCACAGACAGTCCGTCCGCGCAGGTGCACACAAGCCACAGAAGATATTAACGCATTCCCTTCCGTACGTGTTTGGCAACAGCTCACGTGCCAACATTACGAAGCAGGTATAGTGAACACGCCTAGCAACAGTAACTAGGCACGCGCACTGTGAGTACTCGACAGGGGTCGCCTTACGACAATGCAGTTGACAAACTCAACGCACTAAACAGGGTTAGACACGAGGACGAATGATACGGAAACACACATCCAATGAAACATACATGCTCGGAAACATACATCCACTGAAACATACATCCAAGGAAACATAAATGCACGGAAACATACAGCCACGGAAACACACATGCACGGAAACATATATGCACGGAAACATACATGCACGGAAACACACATGCACGGAAACATACATACACGGAAACATACATGCACGGAAACACACATGCACGGAAACATACCTGCACGGAAACATAAATCCACGGAAACACATATCCACGGAAACATACATCCAAGGAAACATACAT